ACACCTGCTGTGGTATATAACATTCAGATGAAACTTTTCACTACTGAAGTTTAAGCTCGGAAGTATTCTTCAGTTGGCTAAAATACTTGAATGATTTTAATTGGGAATTGAAGAAACTTAAAAAATACACTCAATGTCTACTATTTCTTCGATTCTGAAAGTTTGCATGCCAATCCAAAAAGTTAGATATGACTCATGAACATAAAAATAGAGTATATGTAAATTGCAGCTTCTGAATCTTTTGCTGATTTCTCTTTTAGCAGAATTGGTTAAATTGTCAGGGAACTTTTCTGAAAACAGAAATATGCAAACTAAAATATATAGCATAGCTTTTTAGCATATGGCTTAAATTGATACAATAAGTGAATGTTTTAAATAGTAAAATATTTTTACAGGAGAATCAGGCTACTTAATGATTACACATTTATCTTTCAGGTGACCTTAAAATACATCAGCCTTAGTTAAATAAGCTACAGTTGAGTTGTGTTTAAAATAAATGGAGAAATGCCCCGAAGATTTGAAGATTTGTCTGTTATTTTTTATAATTTGAACTTGTTTTTTTCCTTGCCCAAATTCCATAGAGGTGAAAAGACCCATTGCTTATCAAGGGAATGTTTAAAGGTATTCCGTACTATGTTTTAATATGAAATACATAGTCCTTGTGTTTTTAGATTTGGCACCATAAAGCATAAGATATTATAATGGAAAAGCATTTCAGAATGAAAAGGATATTTAAACAAGTTTCCATATGCCCTGTGAAGAATTTAAAATCGAGCTCCCCCACCCCTACACACTTTAATTCAGTAATTAACTAGACTTGCCCTGTAGTTTGGGGGACTGTAATGGTTTACACCTGTTTCAACTTTTGCTGTTTTTACTGGCTGTGGCTTTTGCCATCCCATATTTCTTGTGAAGCAAAAATATGAAATAAAATATGGCAAAGCACTGGAGAAATTATAATAAACATAAAAAATGAATTGTTCAGGTTAAAATATGAGATACTTTACCTGCACAACCCATGAAGCCATGTTTCAGTAGTATTGAAGTAATTTATTCTGTGTCATGAAAATAAAGACAGTGCTTTCATTGGCAGGAATAATCCAGAGTTTTTACAATCAAACAATTAAATTTTGGAACATCAAGCAAAGTTTATAATGTAAAGACAGTCAGAAAAAGGCTGCTAAGTCATTATGTGTATTCATGTTACTGCAGAATAAAAAAAAAACGAGAGTATAAGTGTATAAGATATGTGAAGACTCAATAGAACTGTTATACTACAGAATATAATCACACTTCAAGGGTCAAGAAATAACCATGACATCAAGTAGGGGGTTGGCTCATTTCTCAGGCAGTATTTCCTCCAAATATAATGAAAAAGAAGCCATTGAGTCAAGGTATTATATCATATATTTTTTCTTGCAATCTAGATCTCAGATGGTCTCCCTAGAAGTAACCTTGATTCGTCAGGCCTAACAGTAGCAGCCCAGCTCTAGTGTTGGGTTAAGAGTAAAATGACTAGCCTTTTAGTTCACCGCCCAGAATGAGATTAGCTAAATTAAATTTCTGTGTTTAATTTGGATAGAATTGTGACTGTGAAAAGATCTTTGGGAAAGTTGTCAGAAGAACAGACTTTTAATTTTGGCTTTATCTCACTAGTTGGGTGGCTTTGAATAAATGGGCGAAGGTTGATCTTAAATGAGGGCAGGGCCTTGCCTATTTTCTCTAGTATAGGACGTAAATATCTGTGGAATGAAAATTTCTTTTTGTTCTTTTCTGGGTCTGTAAAATGAACATCTTAAATGCCTAAGTTTATATTGAGAAAGAAATATTCTGCAAGTGGCCTCTCCCCACCTCTCACTTCTTCCGAGAAGTTTAATATATTGATCCTGAGAATTTTAGAGTAACTTTGAGACTTGAAATCTCAAATTTGAGCACAGAAGGATCCCTCTCTGGGGGGAGAGAATATTTGTGGTAAAACATGGCTCTCCCTTGATTGGCTTTAAGGGCCTTGCCGTCTTTGGGCGTGGTCAGTAAAAGTCCCGCAGGAGACCCAGCAGCCTGGGAATTAGATAAGGACACTCCCTGCAAAGTGCCAGTGACTGGGACCAACCAGGGTTTACACCCGAGACAATGATCTGACCAAGAATGCAACCAGAGTCTTTTACCAGGGTGTTCGTGGGCTTGGGAAGTAAATACTTCTCAGGATTTAGGGGAAAATTAGGCTCAGATTTGGAGTTTCTCATACAGTAAACACTTAAAATGAAAAAGAACAAAGATTTTTGGTGCCAGTGAGTATGCCATTTCTGGCTCCCTGCCTCCAGTTCCCCTTCAAATCACAAGGTTGCTAAAAGGTGTACGTTCCGATTAAATTTTAGATGTTTTTCCGGAACATAATTAATTATAGTTTGAGTCTAACTAAGGAAATTTTTCCCTTTTCTATTCATCCTGGCATTGAAAGACCATTCTATGAAGTCTGTTTAGACTTGGAATGAAGGGGCATTTCAAGCTTGTGACATAATGAGTTTGTCATGAGCAAAATAAGTGTCCTAAAGGAAGTGTCTAATAAAATGTAGTTGTGTCATGAAATTTAAACTGATGAATTCTCAGTTGTGTAGGAGTTCCTTGGGGGTGAAAGGGATGATTATCCGCCTTGCTTGATAGGCCTTCGAAATTATCTTTGATTCTAAAATTTCTTTTCAAAGAAGTTTCCTCGATGTCACTAGAATTTTAAAAAATCTTTGTGTCCTTATATGCAGTTTTTATTTCCAAGTGATTGTGTTATAGATTAGGGCCCCATTAAAGTATTTTCAGCTTTAGAGATAAAGACAGTCTATGAGGTGGCTGAGTTGAAGTCCCTTCAAGGCACTTGTTCTTAGGTTTTTGTCATTAGGTTTGGGCACTGACATTTTATCTCACCTGGGTTGCCCCTCTAGCTAGGATCAACCACATTTGCCAGTTTATTTAAAAGAGTGAGTTTTTTTGTTGTTGTTGTTCAGATTTATTCTTTGTTTTTTAAAAGGCTTTAATATTGATATATTTCTAAGTTCAAGAGTGAAAATCATAATTTGTAGAGTTAACCGCAAAGAATCTTTTCGCGGAAATGTGTGCTTTGGGTGCCCACTTCAGTGTCTGTACTCAGTTCATGCTGTTGATGGTATGGTATTTGTGCAAAAAAGTAAAGGTAAAATGGTATTGGCATTATGTGTTAGTTTTTTGCTGCTGCAACAAGTTACCGCCAGTATAGTGGCTTAACAATAACATTCATTTATTATGTTACAGTTCTGAAGGCTGGAGGTCTGAAATTGGTTTCTTTGGGCTGTTAAGGTGTTGACCAGGCCATGCTTCCTCCAGAGGCTCTAGAAAAGAACCCATTTTCTTGCTTTTCTCAGCTTCTAGCGGCCACCTACATACCTTGGCTTGCGGCCTCTTCCTGCATCTTCAAAGTCGGCAGTGTAGCTTTTCTGTATCTTGCTCCTCTCTGAATCTCTCAGATTGTTGTCACATGCCCATCTCTCTCTGTTTTTATTGTCGCATCACTTTCTTGGACTCTGATCTTCCTGCTTCCTTTTTATAACGACCTCTAGTGACTGTATTGGGTCCACCTGGGTAATTGAGGATAATCTTCCCATCTCAAGATCCTTAATTCAATCACATCTGCAAAATCCTTTCTGCCATGTAAGGTGACATATTGATGGGTTCCAGGGATTAGGACATGGACAACTTTGGGGAGCTGTTATTTAGCCTGCCTCACACATTAGAATATAGTTTAAATTTTTTTATTTCTTTTACTTATTGCGTTCATACATTTCCTCAAACTGTCTTTGGTAATCACAGAAACATGTACTCTGTGTTCTCTTTTTTGGATGAAAATATGTTGATAAATAAATTTTGTATTTTTACAAAATTGCAGAAGGTGTCTTGTCATATATCTAACTGTGAAATTAAAGTTGGTGAAAAGATAACTTGTAATACTTGTTATTTTTTTGAGGGCAGAGAGAACTTCTTTGAGTTTTGACTCTTCCATGTAACCATGTAACAGAATGATCCGCCATACTTCTTGGGTCTTTAATCATTTTGACAAGTTGCAGGAGTTCTTGCTCCAGCCCCATTTTTTGTCCTGATGAGGGCGTGGCTTCTCTACTTAACCACTGTTCCACTCTGCATTTGAATCCAAGACTTGTTTTGTGGTTGCCCTCTGAAAGGTACCATTTGAGGCGATTGCAAGCAGGATTTTATCAGCTCTTTGTCCCCTCTCTCCCTTTAGTCCGATTTCCCACCTCCCCCCACAGATAAAAAAAGAAAAATGTTCACATAGTCATAAAACTTTTGAACATTGAGAACTGGGTTTGTTCTGTTTTTATAGGCTACCATTTAGATATAAAAATGATTGTTCAAATACAATGACCTTTTAAGTAAGCTCATATGAAATTTTATTGTTGTCTGTCACTTTGTCATTACTATTTAATTCTCATGTTTTTTCTCTCTTTTTGCGTAAACCAATAAAGGAGTGAATTAAAGTAGTGTAAGAAGCCAACAGAAATCCAAGTAGATTATATAGTCATTGCAAAACCTCAAACTGACAAAACTTAGCAGGCCATGTTCCATGAGCCCCCAGTTGAAAAGGCAACGTCATGCCTGGGATTGATTACAGCTAGGAAGTGTTAGAGCACTACAGCTGCTTATATTGGTAGTTATATTTGTTCATAAATTTTTTTAACTATGAAAGGACAAGATTACTTTTGTTCATGTGTGAAAACAGAGATTGTGAGACTTTCAAACAGAAAAAAGTGTGAAATTAAAGAAGTGTAATTGATTAGATTAGTGTTTTATTCTTTATCGAATTTGCATCACAGATGAGGCCTGTTAGCAGCCACTGAGCTTTGGGAGAACAAGGATGGCATCTTGTTTACCTTTCTATTCTCATACCTGATATGCAAGAGTTTTTGAATACATAGGTTGAGAAAAGAAACTATTTTAAATGTATACATTTTTATTTACAGCTGCTGCTGAAGGAAAAGGCAAAAGTGGGGAAGACTTTTTTCAAAAGGTAAGTTGCTTTTTACTCCTGCATTGGTGATAATTAAAGAGAAATACACGTGTCTCGGTAGAAAGCTACTCTTCCATGTGAAAGGGAATAGTTTTTTGATGTGATAGCTGGAGATGCTCAGGCCAAGGAAAGGGTGGTATACTGTTTGACACGTAACCATTCTAAGGAGATTTCTTCTGGGCAAATCTGATGAAGTTTTTGCTTGGAGGTATGGAAGCAAGGAAGGCTGCAAGATATGCTGTCTTGATTATGTTCTTTTACTACTGCCCACTATTTCCTTCTTCCTCAAACACATACCTGACCTGGGAAGTAGAGAGGAGTCCCTCACAGCTTTTCTTATTTCTCTTAAGTCTGAATGTGGGCAGGATAATATAATTGACAATGGATGTACCTTTAGACCTTCTTGCCAGCAGTTAGTAGCTGTGTCTATTCTGTCCCTGGCTTTCCTCTGAAAGTTCTGACCTTCAGTGAAGCCAGTCTGGCCAGTCATACATAGCAAAGGGAAACAGGAGTAGAGCTGACTGAAGAATGAATATGAGAAACTATGAAGAACAATTGGTTTATTCTAGTCAGCTCTATTTTTAAAAATATTTTATGTAGAGGAAGATGCCAACCTTTCAAAGAAATTGATTTAAGTTCATGTTCTTATTTCTTTGGTTTATTTGGATTTATTGTATTTGCATCTTTGTCAGGATCCAGAAAGCATATGTGTGGGAACAAATAGACACATATCTTAGGAGAGTGATAAGAGGGAAAATATAGTAGCAACTATGAATGAGGTTAAATATGGCTGTAGAGGGTCATCAAGCTTTTGGAAAACACCTCTGTGTAGCCAGATGTGGCCTTTACAACTTCTTTATTCTTTTGCCTTGAATGTGATCTACTTTTTTTTTTATTTTTTGGTAAGCTTCATCGTTTATCTGTATTCTCTGCCAAGCTTATTAAAAGCAAATATTTTTAGAGCTGATACTTATATTGCCATTTCTTCATTCTGAAAATATTTATTTACCACCTGTTGTGTTCTGCACACTGGAGAGACCAAAATGATCAAGGCATCGTCCCTGCCCTACAGGACTTAGTTTGGTGTCTGGTGATGTAGTCACAGAAATAGCAGGAGAGTCTGGGGCCATAGAGGATTAAGCACTTGACTGAGGCTTTAGGAGATTAGAAGGGAGTTCTTGAGGTCTTCAGAAGAGTGGAAGTTAGCCATGTGAAGAGGTAGGCTTGAGTGGGTTGGAAGGCATTCTAGGCAAAGACAAAATATAAGAAGGCTCAGAGGTAGAAGAATTTATGCGGCATTCACACTTCCACCGTTTGGCTGGCACATAATGTGAGGGATTCATAGTGCAAGATGAGGTACAGGATTCTATATGATGAAGTATCTTCTCTGAATGGAAGACACATTCCTAAAGGATTTAAATTTATTTAAAAAT